GCTCGCGGCTCCGCTGAGGTCTCTATGAAAGGGGGCGATTTGAGGGTTCCGCCGTGACCGCTCCCAACGGCGGAGACGCGCGCTCTGGACCAGAGCCGTTGCCCGCTGTCTCGTCACCCCAAGCGGCCTCCTGACGCCGTGCTGGTGCGAGGGTCTCCAGGGGAATTCGGGGCACAAATCGGGCCCGAGCGTCCGGGCTGGTGTGGCACGAAGGCGCAGGATCGGCGCTTTGAGAACTGAGCGCCTGTGGAGTTCGGAGGAAAAGGGCGCAGGTGGTTATTTTAATTAAAGCAGCTATGTATAAAGCGAACTCAGACCTCTTTAAAAGATTCAGTAGTTTAGGAACGAACCAGGGCTGTGGAAATGCCCGTCATCCCGCACCACCCGTTGGTTCTGTGCTCCGAGGGCGGGAGCGTGGACTCTGAGGGCTCCTGAATTATGCCCCACTGGCCTTTCACCCTGCGTGGTAACTACCAGGCTAGGCTTTCCTAACTCGAGCCAAACAGCAAGTTTCTGGCTTGCTTAGTCACTAAAAGAAAAAAATTTCGATCTTTTCTAATCAGAAGGGAGTAATTTTCTCTTTCTAACAATCCTGGGCAGAAGGAAATGCCCAGGATTTTATCAGTGGTACTCCTTGAGTAGTAGAGAGTTCATCTTTTTATGTATTTCTAAATTTTCTACAATTTACACACACTGTACCAGTAAAGGGGTATTAAGTCTACAGCTTCCAGTTTATCTGGAATTACTGCGTTGTGTTTACTGACTTAACTTTAAGACAATGGTTTCTTTAACAGTCACTTGCCACTGCTTTTTCCTGAAGTGCTTACCTAGTCTTAGGTGCACTAGAATCTCACTAAAATAATAAATTTAGTTTATTTTCCCTGACTTGTTCTGTGCACATGCGTACACGGATATCGCTGGGGATATCCTATAACATTGATTATCCCCTAGGGTTGGCACAGCGGGGAGAGGAGGTGGAGATAGTCCAATTCCGTGTGTTGGCTGCTAATGCTTATTCTTTGCAATAATTTACTGTAGGGCTGCAGGATAAGTAAGCCTGTGGTCAGTTTTCCACATTATTACAGGTTATTGCAGTTGAACTGTTTGTCACTGCCTAAGGTGAGTCTTGAGCTTTTACCCTCCTGAGTTTGTTTCTGTGTTCCATCAGTCACTCAGCAACATCCTACAGTGTCACTGAAGCATCCTGCTTCATGGTACCCACATCAGTCAAGGTAGGCTGACAGAAGGGACCTCAGCTTCATGGAATAAATGTTTCTCTTGCTTACACAGCAGTCCAGCCTGGTGTCCTGGTCACCCTTTAGTGGGAGCAGCACAGGCCGCCAGGTGCCACCACCGTGGCCCCCTTCTTAGCCTTTGGAGCCCTCCGCCTCCAGCATGAAGGGTTGTGCATGGGCTATGACAGGACCAAGCCTGTGCATGCGTGGTGTGTTTTCCAGACCAGAAATTTTGGTGCACGGCTACCCTCGACTCCAGAGAGGCTGGAAATGTGGTCCTGCCATGTTCTTAGTGGCTCCAGGGAGGAAGCAGAAAGAGCTTGGGAAAACTGCCAGACCACAGACATAGAAAAATGAATATTTTAACAGAAAAATAACTTTCTATGGAAATGATATTAGGGGCCATCTGACCTCTGTTCAATGAGAGGATAGGTTGGGGTTCATTTAGCTGCCCTGGATTCATGTCCTGGACACAGACATGTATGTGTATGTGTGTGTGTGTGTGTGTGTCAGTGTGTCCCTGACTATGATTCTGCCTGCACCAGACACTCCTTCATCCCCGTCTGCACCACCCTGCCATGGAGCAGGAGAGGCAGGAGAGGTAGGCATTGAAGCCGAGTACACCGAGGCAGAGGTAGGCATTGAAGCCGAGAACACTGAGGAACGAGGAGAGGTAGGCATTGAAACCGAGAACACAGGAATGGGCAGAGGTAGACATTGAAGCTGAGAACACTGAGGCAGAAGTAGGCATTGAAACGGAGAACACTGAGGAGCGGAGGTGTTGGGCAGCTGGAGAGGTGGGACGTCAGCTCGTGCACACTGGGGCCAGACTGACCTAGAGGTTTTGAGCGCAGGCTAGTGCTTCCTCGTGAAGGTGGCTTATGTGTCCTGACGAGGCTTCTTCCCTCTTTGGCTTCACACCATTGTTTTCTGTGAACTCTTCACACTAGTGAGTCATGGTGTTATTTCTTTACTATGCACACATCAGGAAATGCAAGCACATTCATATTCTGTCTTTATTTTGGAAATAATTCCAGCGATGTCAGACGTTGGGTGTCAGGAGATCGTTTTTTGTTGTTTCTGCTTTTGTTTGTTTGTTTGTTTTTGAGACAGGGTCTCACTCTGTTGCCCAGGCTGGAGTGCAGTGGCACAATCTTGGCTCACCTCAACCTCTGCCTCCTGGGTTCAAATGATTCTCCCGTCTCAGCCTTCCAGGTAGCTGGGACTACAGACACGTGCCACCACGCCCGGCTAATTTTTGTATTTTTAGTAGAGATGGGACTTCACTACGTTGGCCAGGCTGGTCTTGAACTCCTGACCTTGTGATCCACCCGCTTCAGCCTCCCAAAGTGCTGGGAATACAGGCATAAGTCACTGTGCCCGGTGTCTGCTTTTGTTTTTAAGACATGAAGGGGTCCTGTGCTTCAGGCATGGAAGAGGTCTTCAGGTCTTCAGATTGCCTTTCTCCTATGAGCCTGGGCTCTCTGACCCCACACCTTTCACCAAACCCGTTTAGATCAGACAGCTTTTTATATGTGTGCATGTTTGGGTGCATGCGTGGGATTCTGTGTGTGCATGTGTGTATACAGGTGTGAGATTTTGTGTGTGTGTATGCATGTGTGTATGTGATCTCTTGATCTCTTGCTTCACAGCTGCCCATACCTTAACTTCTTCCTTGTAAGCTTCACTGCACCATTCTTCCCAAGATCTCCTAGCACCATCTCAACCGTTGGGTCACCCTAGACTCTTGCTGTCTATTGCTTGTTCTAGTCTTACTTCAGGGTTCAGTCCTGATAGGACACACACAGATCAGTGTGTAGACGTATGCTGGGTATTGTCATTTCATTTGTACAGTTTTCATTTTGTAGGCAGTTTTGTTCGTTTGTTAATACTGCAATGACAAACTAATGCAGATTTGGTGGTTTAAAACAGCACAAATGGATTATCTTACAGTTCTGGAGGTCACAAATCCAAAATGGGTTTCAAACTGTGCTAAAATCAGGGTGGCATTGGGGCTGGCTCCTTCCAGAGTCTTCAGGTGAAAACTCTTCTCCGTGCCTTTTCCAGCTTCTAGAGGCCACCACAGGCCTCAGCTCCTGGCTCCTTTTTCTGTCTTAAGAACGGTAACCACAGCAGGTTGAGTCCTTTTCATGGTGCATCGTCATCCCAGCTTTTCTCTCTCTAGCTTAGTTAAGGAAAGTATTTAAATTGAACATACCCAGATAATCCAGGATAATCTCTCTTCTGAAGCCCATCTGATTAGTAACCTTGAGTCCCTTGGCTGTGTAACCTAATGTTTGCAGAGGTTCTAGGGATGAGCATGTGGACATCTTAGGGAGAGTGTTACTCTGTCCCCAGTGTGCCCTGGGGTATTTAGACTCCTCACCATTCAGCTAATAGGTACTATTTTATGTAATTGGTGCAAAAGGACAATGCTAGGCACTCTGTAATCATTTAGAAATGAGAGAAACAAGATGACTTTTTGAGTGTTATCCTCTAAAATGGACACACTGGATTAGAGAAGAGATGTCTGTTTCTTCCACAATTACTCGAAAGAAATTTTGGTGCAATGCCTAGAGGAAGTTACAACTGATGTTTCAGCATTTGACATAATGTATCCAAAGCAGTATCTATGCTTCTCCCCTGCCGGAAGCTGTTCTCTCCCAGCTCAGAAAGTGAGGTATCTTGTCGTTCAGGCCAGAAAGCTAGGAGCCTCTCCTGATTCCTCAAATTCTTCTTCAGCAACCAACCCGTACTGGCTTCCATCAGTCCTAGCTCAGAAATAACGTGTGGTGTGCATTTGCTTAAACCCTGCTCTTAGGCTCCAGCACCAATGATCTTTTGAAAAATAGAAGTTTTAAATTTGTAAATATTTCGTTAAAGTTTTTGTTCATCCTTCTTGATATTTTTGTATATCTAAGCATTACTATTTTTGTTGTCTCAGCATCCACATCCTCTTGGCAAAAAAATCCTCTAGTCCCTGGATTTCCTCTGGACCACCACCCTTCTCCCTCTGCTGACCAGGACTCAGTAGAGAGGTCTGTGTCCCAGGCCTGACTTCTTGGCGTCATTTCATCCTTCTGATTACATGATTAATTCAAACATGGAAAGTGTCTCAGACAGGCCCAAACTCATGAGAAATGTTCAAGGATCTATGGAAAGAGATGCTTTCTTCCCCAGCACCCTGCAATGTGAGAGGCCACGCTCGGGCGCTGTTGGCCGTCTTTTGCCATCGCATAGGAACAGACAATGAGCAGCACCTAGACAGGTGGAGCTGAGGGTTGGGGAGACAAGGGGGCTGTCCTGACGGTGTTGATGAAGCTGCTGTAACCTTTTAATTACACATTAAACTCTTTCTTTCCATCAGATTAGGTCGAGCTTGCTTTCTGAGACACGAAGTAAACATTTTTCAATGTCATTTTTAAAAACATCTGCATTGTATTCCACTCAACGTAAGAACCGTTGCTACATTTCATATTATAATCAATGTTACGATGGATAGCCTTGAAGAAATAAATTTTGGAAAAGGTAGAATGATTTACTTGTTATAAATTTATAAAAGTAGAATTTTTGATTGCCAGATAAGTTTATGTCAATTCTCTTACCAGCAGTGTATGTGGAAATGTTTCTGTGTGTGTGCGTTCATGATTGATTTATTTGTTTATTTTTTTGGGACGGAGTTTCGCTCTTGTCGCCCAGGCTGGAGTGCAGTGGCGCAATTTCGACTCACTGCATCCTCAGCCTCCCAAGTTCAAGCGATGATTCTCCTGCCTCAGCCTCCCGAGTAGCTGGGATTACAGGTGCACGGCACCATGCCCGGCTAATTTTTGTATTTTTAGTAGAGAAGAGGTTTCACCATGTTGGTCAGGATGGTCTCAAAGTCCTGACCTTGTGATCCGCCCACCTCAGCCTCCCAAAGTGCTGGGATTACAGGTGTGAGCCACTGCGCCTGGCCTGACTGTGGCATTTAACAAGGCACAAATACATGTTAATTTTATTCTGTGGTGTAGTTTGAGTCCATTCTTTCTTTGTTGACTTTCTGTCTTGATGAGCTTTCTAGTGCTGTCGGTGGAATATTGAAATTCCCCGGTATTACTGTGTTGCTATGTCATTTCTTCGGTCTAGTCATAATTGTTTTATGAATCTGGGAGCTTCTGTGTTAAGTGTGTATGTATTTAGGATTGTGATATTTTTCTATTGACTAATCCTTTTATCATTATATAATGTCCCTCTTTGTCCTTTTTTTTTTTTAACTGTTGTTACTTTCAAGTCTATTTATGTTATTTTATGTAAGAATAGCTTCTCCTGCTTGCTTTTTGTTTCCATTTGTGTGGAATATCTTTTTCCTCTCCTTTACCTTAAGTTTATGTGAGTTCCTATGTGTTACATGAGTCTCTTGAAGACACCAGATACTTGATTGGTGTATTTTTATCCGTTCTGCCATTTTGTATCTTTTGAGTGGAGCACTGAGACCATTTACATTCAGCGTTAGTATTGAGATGTGGGATAGTGCTCTATTTATTATGCTAGTTCTTGCCTAAATATCCTTTTTTCGTTGTGTTATTGTTTACAGGGCCTGTGAGATTTATGTTTTAAGGAGGTTGTTTTGGTGTATTTCAAGGTTTTGTTTCACGATTTAGAACTTCTTTTACCACTTCTTGTAGTCCTAGCTTGGTAGTGGCAGATTCTCTCAGCATTTGTCTGTCTAAAAAGGACTTCATCTTTCCTTCGTTTGTGAAGCTTAGTTTTGCTGGGTACAGAATTCTTAGCTGACAATCATTTTGTTCAAGGGGGCTAAAGATATGACCCCAGTCCTTCTGGCTTGTAAATTTTCTGCTGAGAAGTCAGCTGTTAATCTGATAGGTTTTCGTTTATAGGTTACCTGATGCTTTTGTCTCACAGCTCTAAAGATTCTTTCATTCTTCCTGACTTTAAATAACCAGATGACTGTAGCTGGGTCATGATCCTTTGTGATGAATTTCTCAGGAGTTCTTTGAGAGAGTATCAGTTGCTGTGTTAGAAGGGGTATATACACTTTCCCTAAGTTGGTCCAGGGGAGGTATCCTGGTTTCTCAGGTGATGTGCAGGGCCATAGTGTTCCCAAGAGTTTATGTCTTTTGTGTTTGGCTACCAGGGTGGGTGGAGAAAAACCATCAGGTGGGGACAGGGTTAAGGGGGTCTGGGCTCAGACTCTCCCTGGGCAGGGCTTGCTGCAGCTGCTGCGGGAGATGTGGGAGTGGTTCTTGAGCCAATGGAGATATGTTCCAGAAGGGATTATGGCTGTGTCTGCTGCATCACATAGGTTGCCAGGGAAGTCGGGGAAAGCTGGTAGTGGAAGACCTCACCCAGCTCCCACGCAGTTTGTGAGGCTGGTCTTGCTCCCACAGTGCCCAGCTAACAGCGCCAGGTTTAGATGCAGACAGCCTGTGTGTGGGACTCAGTCCCAGCCCAGGGCATAGGCTTCCGCGCTGAGAAAGCAAGCATGGCTGGCTTTCAGGTCTTGCCCTCCCCGTCTGCCCACAATGTTGGCAGCTCCTGTGCTCATATCTGTAGCAGTTCCCTTTTACCCACTTCTGTTTCTGCTCAAGGAAGTTCGTGCCCAGTCTAGATTATCACAGAATTCAGTTGGAAGCTTCTTTCACCCTTTGACCTCTCCCTAATTCCGCTGGCTGTCTTTTCTGAGGGAGGACCTCTGTGAGAAACAGTCAGGGATGGCTTCCCTGGACTAGAGCTGGAGACTGGGAATGCCTACAAGGCTCTTCTCACTGCTGCTTCTACTTTATATTTCGCTTGGCTGCCTAAATATGCTTCAGCTCTAGGTAAGGTTACGTCCTTCTCCTGTAATATGGATTTTTAGATTCCCCAGTGGGGATGTGTGTTTGGAGGCAGTTTTTTTCCCCTCACATTTTGGGAGCTCACAGTTTTTTGCCTGTCTCATGGAATTTGCAGTGGCCTGCTGCTTCTTTCAAAGGATCTGTGAATTCTTTCAGTTTTTTTGGTACATTCCTGCAGTGGTTCTTGGAAGAGAACTTCACAGTATGAGTCTCCACATGCCTTTCAGTCCATCCTAGTGGGAGACGCACATTATCCTTGCCTCCTGTCTGCCATCTTCTTGCCTAACCGCTTTAAAGGGTTATTGTAAGAATGATATAATCTATGTACTCATATATACAAACCTGCTTATTAATGTCTACAAAAGTGGTCTGTAAATTGCAAATTGGCATGCAAATACTATTATTTGTAAAATGTGCTGCTGAATTCTATGG